TGGTTATATGCAATATGGTTATATGCAATATGGTTATATGCAGTATGGTTATATGGAATATGGTTATATGGAATATGGTTATATGCAATATGGTTATATGCAATATGGTTATATGGAATATGGTTATATGCAATATGGTTATATGCAATATGGTTATATGCAATATGGTTATATGCAATATGGTTATATGGAATATGGTGTTATGCAATATGGTTATATGCAATATGTTTATATGCAATATGGTTGTATGGAATATGGTTATATGCAATATGGTTATATGCAATATGGTTATATGGAATATGGTTATATGGAATATGGTTATATGCAATATGGGTATATGCAATATGGTTATATACAATATGGTTATATGCAATATGGTTATATGCAATATGGTTATATGGAATATGGTTGTATAGAATATGGTTATATGCAATATGGTTATATGCAATATGGTTATATGCAATATGGTTGTATGGAATATGGTTATATGGAATATCGTTATATGGAAAATGGGTATATGGAATTTCCAGGATGGCTTGCCCTTGATGCGGATCAATCGATAAAATTTAAATTGTCATTCAGATATGGTTTGCATGGAAACAACATTTAGTTTTGTTATTTCTAATTTTAAAACGAATGTTCATGCAATTGTAATTTCATGCAATTTGAGAAGTTGTCTTTAATGAAAGGTTATAGCCATTAAATGTTGGTGGCGATTTGGATCAGGTTGTCATGGAAATAATTGTGGTAAATGATCAAAGATTTATAACTAGAAATAAACATTTGTTGGTTTAGATCTGGATTTCGTTGCCATAGAAACATTCGTACTGACTATTCGATGTGAATAAACTAAAAAAGTTAATCTTCAATTTGTATATAGAAGTATAAACTAAACGATTATCATTTTAGAAGTGATCAGAATCCGGTTGATTGTCAGAAAGGATCATCTACGGACCTCTTGAACGAACAAACATATTCAATACTAATTTTTGTTTGTTTTAGATAATAATGCACTCACGACATCACCCAGTAGCATGGCACGAGCAAACCCTAGTGATGTATAACACGTATGACGTCACCAGTCTACTATTTTGACTATCTATGTTGTCACTGGGCGCACGTCACTGACCTGTATAATACTGTTTCGCATTTTCAGAGCAGCAGTTAAAAATTGACAATAGTGCTAAAAAAATAATTGTTACAAGTTTTTCCTGCATAATTCCAAATTCCAATGACATTCAAATGGAACGACTTTGAAAACAAGCGTTTAACCTCAGTAAAATAGTTGGCAGCGCAAACTGATTGCCAATTACACAATCGAAAGTTTGTTTATTTCCATGTAATGTTTCGTAATTTGATTGGTCGATATTAAGTAATTAAATAGCTGAAATGATTTCATCTACGAGTAAATATTGAATGACGGTATTGGTCAATTGTACGTAACATAAATGATTACCTAAACCAATCATGTAGAGAGGAGGAAGCAGACAAGGAAATATCGTACCTTTGGCCAGTGATGTCGATAATGTCCAGTAGTATTTCTTCAATTTATGCAGTGATAAACAAATATTCATGAGTAAAAACATAATAACCAATGAACGGTAAATATGATGTTACAGTTTTTGTTTCTCACTGGAAATTCTTGGTTTGCATTTTACAATTTATGTTATTGTCGTCTGCATAAATCAAGTGAACTACCCAGTAACCATGTTATGATACCATCCATTTGATTCATACAGTATGAAGCACTGATTGGTGCATTAGCAAGCAAATGATTAATGATCATACCGCCTATAATGTGTTTCTCAGCTGTTAAAAAGGAGGGGGGTTTACGACGTTGCAGATGGACGTAAAATGTTATAGCAACACTATTGAAGTGAGTTTCTATACAAGGTAAAAATAATAAACACAATACGATTAATTTTACGTCATTTCGAGTATATTTAATAGATATATAATTATAGTAACATGTTCTAGCATATGTCATCAAAACTAACAATACACATAATCCATGATATGATGTCATATTTGAGAATAATTCAAATTAAAATCGATAAAAACAGATTTATTGTAGTTTTGAATTAATAAGTTTCACATATACCTATTTTTTCTATTAAAACTTTTATAAATAATTGGATTTTTGAAATTCTGCAGTTATAAATGCATAAACAATTCAATGCTATCATTGTAACTTTATTTCCTTCGATACTCCATAATGACGATACCACTTGTTTTAACGAAAATTTGCTTTTTGATGAGGAATAATTCAAAATAAATACATTCTACGATGTTATATTATAAACATAAATGTATAGAATAGTGTAAAATAAACAATTTAGGCATGGAAAAGAGTAAATCTAAAAGCAGCCACACCCATATTACTTTTGGTTCATCTAAAACTCATTGTTGTACATAAGTAAGCTTTCTTTGCTTTGGTCATAAACTAAAACACGAATCGTCTGTACGTCATAGGCGTGGGAAGAATAGCACCATCCTGTATCTGAATGTTTTCACCAGAACGTAGACACCCACATGATACTGCCACTTCTTGGTATTCCAGTTTGAATTTATAAAAACCATCGACACATCCTCGTTTTTTCAGGACAGGTATAGGGTACATGATTTCCTGGCAAGTATGGGATACACTGAGATCACCGTCTTCGTTGATGCAATTGTCGCACGAGCACCTGGCGTGCTCTATTGTGCGTGGAATGCGGTTTGCATCCACCTCCGTAGTATAGTAAAATGGACACGTGCTTGTTACTTCCGGTGGTGCATGGCGCGAAACTGTGTCACCACTGCGGCACTCGGCTTGTTCTTGTGACTCAGGTTCCAGGTTTGCAATGAGTACATCGGCAATTTCGAATGGATGTATTGCAAAATAATCTGTATATGGGTAGAACGCAGTTGAGTATTGTGAAGGATTGTGACAGGTACTGGCACCAAAACTCAGTGGCAAAGAATGACACATAGTAATACACACAGCGAGCAGAATCTGGCAAGAAAGCAAAACAAAATGAAAGATGAGATCTAGTCTAATGAAAATAATCAATGGTTGTAATCGGTAAAGGGTGCGCCAATAGACGGGTTGGGTAAGATTTCTTGATGACGTAGATCTGACATTGGTTCCAGTCACTCTAAGGGTAATTATTTTAATCAAAACACCGCTTACAGCACTGTTCAAATTACTTTGCAATGCTGAATAATAGTGAAATTACAATGAATGATGATAACGAATGTGCGTACTTTCTGTACTTAATATAACATAGGATATGAGCTTTGTGTAGAAATATTAGTGATATATCTAATGGGATCAGAACAAAAAAAAATGTCACTTAAATGTCTACATTTATTCGCTGTCCTAAAGCAAATACAAATCATGTAATTCACGTGTACACCCACTATGTCGTTCTCTGTATAAGCAAGCGACAATAACGTACTTTATACATGTATAAATTAAACAGTACAGAATTATCAGGTGATTTGAAAATATTATGTTCACATAATAAAATGCTAATATTACTATAACTGTAGTATTAGATATTCATTCCACTTACCAGATACATAGTCAGTCTGAGCAGTTATCTATCAACTATTACCAAGATTGAATGTGTTCAAAGTCTGAACAAACTTATGTTTAAACCTTCCTAGCTTCCGTGGTATATATATTAAATATGCTGACCAAAATTAGAACAATTTTATTATCAATACAGTGAAGGGACATGTTGTCGGCGTTTCCGTAAATGTCTCAAAACTACCCTCATAAACTGGAAATTTTCCATCAAAAGTAGTACATGAAGTCATCTAGTCATTTGCAAGAAAATTATCTATTCATGCATCTCCAGACAACGTGACAGGATTTTGGTTGACAGTGTATGCGTGTTCGAATCTCGTGTTGTGTGTTGTTATGTGAATATTGAATTAAATTAAACTAAACTACCCTCATAAACTGGAAATTTCCCAATTGGGTGAATGCACACCAACCAACAAAAGTAGCACATGAGGTCATCAGCAAGAAAACTATCTATCCATGCATATCGATGACAACGTGACATGCTTTTGGTTGACAGTTGATTTGTTAGTTCGTGCGTCTACCTGCAGTGCTAGCACTACGCCTTGTGTGCGTGTTCGAATCTCGTTTTGTGTGTTGTTTTGTGAAAATTCGTTTACCTGGAATTGTTTATTTATTTCGGTGAATTGTATTGTTCTTTCGGGCGTAAAAATGTTTAAAACATTCAAAACTATTTGCGTTTGTTTGTATGGTTATGTGCGTGATTACGTGTGTGCCACGTAATATCAAACAATTATGTCACGGACGGTATATATTAAGCGCTTTTTTTTGGATTATACAAATTCACACTTACAGAAAATTAACTAACAATGAATCTGATATTCATAATCTCATCCAAGATTCACCTATATAACACCTACTGTGGTATATGCGTAGTATTCGAAAGAAAGATATTGTTTTTTGCTTAGCTCCACATTCTCATTGCGAGATGAGGAGGTCAAATTCCTAAAATTGTGGAACTACAAATTGTTGATGTATTTGCTTGGAGGAGTGCTTTTTCCGGACTATTTCAGCAAATTTTCTTAACATTCTTGTGTCAAAAGTATGTTAGCCGCGTTTATCTTCAAGGACAACGTTTTACTCAACGAACGTTTTTAAAAACATAGTGCAAATATACCTACACAGTCACTCATAGTTCCGTGTTTCTCTTGCTATTTGTATTTGCGTGTAGCATATTTTGAGAAGCCGATGAGTTTCTTGAGATTACAACCATTTGACATTTATTTCAATTTAGTAAAGTTATCTTTCATATGCCATTGGATGCACCACACATTACACGATAACGTTTGAACGTAAAGTCAATGTATGTCTGACGTGTTACATGTCATAGAGAGAGTTTCATAAAATAACACGCTGAGTTAATAAGCATACGCTCCAAATTAGTAGCTCTCAGGTCAGAAAAAAATATTATTTTCAAAATAATTCACACTGACTTCCTATGATCAGTTGAATGGAAAAAAGTCGTTTAAGCGATTTCACTAGAAAGGCAGAACTGTAACTACCTTCTGGAAGTGACACTGCGTAGTAAATTCAGTGCAAGTGAGATCATCGTTCAGGCCAATGCCCGCGGCAAACAAGACGATTTACAGTTTAATGGGCGGATCCCTACGCAATGGGAACACGTGGTAATTAGCTGGGTAATTTTAGACTGAAGGGTCAGTATGTCTCATTTCACATGATAAAGGTTTAACTTGATGACGTGGATTTGCAATATCGTGCCACTCCCCAGCTTAGTTAGTTAACATGCTACAATTATTTGATGGTGCCTTAGCCAAGAATTAGGGCGAGGTATTATCTTTGTTGATACATATACAGGTGCGGTGCGTCTGAGGTGGAAACGCACACAATAGAATCACACGTAAAGAAAACACAGGTAATCTACTGGGTCAGGCATGAATGGGGTCGTACGAATTTTTAAAAAAAAAACAGACATATGACTGTGATATAAGATATAATGGTAGTATGGTAGTATAGTTAACTAGTAGCAGGTATAATTAAACAATCCTCCTCATTATAGCCAGCCCCTGAGCAACATGAGATACTAAATGGTTCACGTGAACTGACACGTTAAATACAAGCTATTAGATTTCACGCATGTTTTCCTTCGGTGTATAGGACTGCTGCTCATACGATAATTGGAGCGTATCAGCCGTCGATTAGAGAGACACGTTTATTTTTAACACAAGTGTTAAACATGAGTATGTGTATCATGGATATATTTGTTGGTAATTGTAAATGTTCACTGTAAACTCCAGTAAGCACAGACTGTAGAACAGTGTAACAATGGCCGATACACCAACTTCTATGGTATAAACTTATAGTATACATCATGTGAAACACGATATAGCTACGTTAATACAGTTTACGCACATATGGTATTTAATGTAATATCTATTTAGATAATTCACTATCCAAAATAGGAGTTTATATGTCATGAATATGCGTTATTCGATAGTTTCCGTGAATATTGACTCATGTGCTACTTTTAAGAAT